TTAATCAATACAAATCAACTTTCATTGTATAGATTACAAACCAGAAATCTATTTTTAATCAAAAATCACGTGTCCAAATTAGCATTCAAAGATAGATTATAAATTCAATGGAAGAATTTTCTCAAATATATCATGAAGACTATGATCAAAAACTCAAACCCTAACCAAACCCTAATAAGTGATCGAATGGCAACAAATTTTTTTTAAAACACAAGCCATGACCACTAAATTTTATAGGACTCAGTTTGATGATGAAGGCCTTTTGGAAACTAGTTCCACGGACTCAACAGACACATAATTGACCAAATCAGACTTTTTGATCCACATAGTTTTCACTCTCACTTCCTGAAATTCTCTTTCATGCTATACCTCTTTCTTAGGCAAATTTTCAGCTCTAGAAATTTTAGGTGACACAAAATCCTTTTTCTTTTTAGAAAACACATTTTTCTTAGCAAAAACACCATAAGAATGAAAGTCAAAAAAATCTTTATTTTTCCTGTGTGAATTCCTTTTAGCACGAAAATTTCTAAGTTTATTCCAATTTTGCTTTCTAGCATGGAACCTATTTTGTGCAAAGGAACTATAACCATGCGAATCATAAAAAGAATTATTCCTTTTCTTTTTATAACAATAGTGTTGACTTTTAAGCTTAACAATAGGCACATTCAAGTTCATAGGTTTAACGGTTTGACCCTTTTTACTAGATGAAGCCTTATTAAAACCTAATCAAGTTTTATCACCTACATGCTTACCAACACTAATCATCTTATCAAGCTTAATCTGCCCATAAGTAAAAACAATTAATTTCTCTTAAGATTTTTTCAAATCAAGTTCAAGAAAATTAAATTTGGCAATAATAGATTCTCTAGCAGAATTAGCTTGACTTACCTCACTCTCAAAGAATTTTACTTTGTCGTGAAGATTTTGAATTTCAGATTTGTTCTCCTCAAGCAATTTATGTTTTTGTTCATCATCCTTCTTCAGGGAATCATTCTCTATCTTCAAGGTATCTATTTCCTTTTTCAAGGCATCATTCATGCTTTCTAATTCTCTCAACTTCTTAGATTGCTCCTTGACATCCTTACTCAATAACTCAAATTTGGTAAGATTTCCTACGCACAAATAAGAATTATTAGCAATATCATTAACAACATGAGCAATAAAAGCAATAGAAGCATCTTTATTGTTTTCCTTATCTTTCAATTTAGAAGGATCTCCTTTATTATAATTTATATATATTTTTTTTATTTTTTAGGAACCTTCTAGAATTTTAAGACATGATGAAAACAATTTTTTAAATAAAACAAAACTTTCCACAAGGATCAACTCAATGTGTAGAGATTGGCTCTGATACCAATTTGTGAGTCGTACGCAACGGAATATTTAGAAAGTTTTGATTATTTTAAAATAGATCTGTGTCTTTTCCAACTTTCTTTATTTTAGCAATTAATAAATCAATATTATGCAATATAAAATAAAGTAAAGTAAAGTTAGAAATGACACCAAGATTTTAGCGAGAAAACCCCAGTTGATAAAATACGTCAACTGTTTGTATGGAAAAAATCTCGTGGACTATGCAGTCCAAAGTAAACCGATCCACTATGCTTGAAACAAAGTACACTGAACTTTGACTCTGACTCACACCCTATCGTTATACTAAACACCAACTACTGACAATCCTCTGGCTTTGTGACTGCCCATCCAACAACAACAACTTGACCCTAGGCTTATACTTGATATTTGTAGAAGAGTAGCAGGTAGATTAGACAACACTCTACGAATGCTCCAACCCTTTCAAAGTGTGATCGCTTTTACTTCTGTTCTTCAATCGTCCGAATTCGATGTAGAAGAAAATCTGCTTTCTTCTGATCGATGGTGATGTAATTGTATGATCACGATTATGATTTGAACACCACAACTCTAAACTCACTATGTGTTTATGTATTTGTGTTCTAGAAAGATAAACAGAAAATTCTCTAAGGATTTCTTAAAAAAAAAATCTTCATAAGGCTTTTAAGAATAATAACTTGATAGTGCAAAAGCCGTAAATAAACCTATATGTATGACATGGTTTATATAGAGGTTTGCAAAGTCATATTCCTTTTGAAAATAAAGGAAATTTCGTGCATAGGACTTGGAAGGAAAGTTGGATAAAAAAAGAATTAAACAGAACAAGGAAACTGAAAATCTTTTGCAATCAGGAATCCTGGAATTGGTTCCCACATTTGGTACCGGTTCCCAAAGGACAGAATGAAGTTCTTCGAATCTTATCTTTTGGAACCGGTTCCCAAAGTCAGGTATCGGTTCCTACTTAACAGAATCCAATTTAAATTTGGATTCTCTGTTTTTGGCACTCTCGGAAAATATATCATATAGGTATTTGTGTCTTAAGTGGAAAACGATGTCCTAATGTGTTGTTATTTCCTTTTTGATGATCAACAGTATTTTCCTTTTTTGAACAACCTTCGAATTCTGCAGTCGATGTCGAGTCTGATATGGTAACTGAAATTATAACTCGATTAGGACTTGTTTTGCTACCGAAATATGCCAATTATAAAAAAATATCTCACAAAAATAACTAAGTGAAAAGAAAAGTCCCCCCCTCCCCCCGCGCTAAGTTCAACACTTCCGATATTGGCCTCTTTTTCGGACGCGTTTCGATACTATTTGAATTATAGCAAATGTTACTAATGCTTTGTTCGGAAGGAAGAACTATAGATGGATGATAAGAAGGGAGAAACAAACTTCCTTCGTTCGGTAGAAAGGAAATAAGGAAAGAAAGGATCATGGGAGGGATGAGTCGTTCTTCATTATTTACAAGTTTTCATCCCTCCAAATATGAGTCGAAAAATGGAGAAAAAACAAGGTTGTTACATAAATTCATAAAATTAGTACTATCCTAAATTATAAAAATAAAGTAAATTATTACTATCCTAAATTATACAAATACTGTAAATTACTATTATCTTAAATTAAAACCTTATCATTCTCCTTCTATTAACGAACACATTAAATTGTGTATTTATTTTTTATTTTTTATTTTTTTCATTCAATTAAAATAAAAAAAAAGAGAATAACATAAACCCTTCTTTAAGATATCTCAAATATATCTCAAATATATCTCTTTCTTTGCGTCTCATTCAATTTTTTTCTCTTGTACGGAACGAAGGAAAAACTCTAATTTTTTGGACTTTGAACTTGTAATTCCGCAGTAGTCTTCTGATAAGGAAAAACTCTCTTGCCCCCGCTCTCTTGCACCCGACCCAAAGTGAAAAAAATACCTTTCCAATGAGAGGGAACGTGGACAAAACTTATCAATAATGATTGAGATATCTTAAAGAAGAGTTTATGTTTGACAATAAAAAGTCTGGAAATCAATAATGACAAGAAAAAGTCAGGAGAAGTCAGGTTTAACCATCAACACGATTGTCCTTGGTTGTTGCAATCTCTACTTTTCCTACACCAGCCTCTCCTCTCCAAATTTTTAACCCTCTAAAATTGTCATATAAATTTTTTAAAAATTACATCAGCAATTTTAAGTACTACGTCGACAACTTTCGCTCCCTAAAAACATGTACTTCGTCATACTCTTTAAATTTTTGCTCTCCAAAAAAAAAATTTAAATTTAAATTTAAAATTAAAATTAATTATTATTATTATTATTTTTTCCTAAACAGCTATATTTATATTTTTAACGGTTATAATATTTACTTTTCCTACGTCCTCTGCACCGGCCTCTACTCTTCGAATTTTAACTCTCTAAAAATGTCACATTAATTTTTTCAAAAATTACGTCAGCAATTCTAAGACCCACGTCAGCAACTTTCGCTCTCTATAAACATGTACTTCATCATGCTCTCTGAATTTTTGCTCTCCAAAAAAAATAATTTAAAAAAAAATTAAAAATTAAAATTATTATTATTATTTTTTTTACTTTTCCTAAACGACTATATTCATAACGGCTATATTTTTAACAGCTATATTCGTAACGGCTATATTTAAAATAAAATAAAAAGTTTTTTTTATATTTATTTTTGGCCCAAATAAATAAGGATTAAAATTAATGAATTGGAATAAGAAAATAAGGATTACAAAATTATATGGGAATAAGTAGATGAATTTGTAATTGTAATTATTTTTTTTACAAAAGTTAAAAAAAAAATTATAAATATATTGTTAAAAATTATAGCCGTTAAGGCACTATTTGTGTTGGTCAAACAGTGCCTTAACGGCCAAATGCATTGTTTGTAGTACATATTTAAAAAAGAAAAAAAAAAAAAAAAAAAAGGGCAAGAAATAAAAAAATAAAAAAAAAAGCTTTTTGAATTTATTTTTGGCTCAAATAATTTTTTTTTTTTCCGATAAACAGTGCCTAAACAATATATTTTTTATTTAATAAATTTTTTTTTTCTAAAGGGAGCTCAAAATAACCTTTTTTAAAGTTTTTTTGAAAAAAAAAATTCTGCCAAGACACTGTTTGGCCACTGTTCCAGCAGCCAAGGGATAAGACAAAACAGGCAGCCCAAAACGGTGGCATTTTGCAGCCAAAAAAAAAAAGGCAGCAATCGCGGACCGGCTCGCTGAATACCATGGGCCGGCCCGCAAGCAAAAATGGGGCCCATGAAGTTTAGCTAGGGCGTTATGTGCCCAAAAGGCCCTTTGCTCGCGGAAATTGGACTTCCGCGAGCCCGCTGCAGATGGCCTAATACCACAATAATAATTAATCAGAAGAAAAATAAAAGAAGGTAGATATTTATAGTTTGTAAATAACAAAATAAAATAAAATATTAAAAAAAATTAGTTGAATTTTTTTATTTATTTAAGCAAAAACAGTTTTCTTCTTATAATTTCTAAGAATTATTTTTTCTTTTATATTTTTTTCCCTCTTATTTTGTACCACTCATCAATTAAAATTTTTTTTTTTGTTAAAAAAAAAAAAAAGGGGGAAAGAAACGAAACCAGGTCATTATCTCGCGAAAAGTCAAGGTTATGCCCTGTTCCTCTCACTCACTCACCAACCTTTCATTTCATTTCGATCCCCTTTCATTTGAGCTTTGACAATGGCAGCTCCATGGCGTCGAGAAGCTTCCTGTATTTACGATGTCTTCTTGTCTTTCAGCGGCATTGATACTCGAAATAAATTCACCGCCCACCTCTTGGATGCTCTGGAGCACCATCGTTTTTACACATTCAGAGACGACACTAAACTCAAAAGAGGAGAAGAAATTGCTCCCGGATTGCTCAGAGCGATCGAGGAATCAAAGCTCTCCATTGTCGTATTCTCGAAGAACTACGCGTCCTCAAGATGGTGCCTCGACGAGCTTGTGACGATCATGGATTGCAGGAGGACACTAAACCAGATTGTTCTTCCCGTCTTTTACCACCTGGAACCCTCGGATGTTCGGTCACAGAGGGGCGATTATGCAGCAGCATTTGACAGCCACAAAAAACGCTTCAAATTGGAGTCGGTGGACAGGTGGAGGGTCGCTCTAACTGATGCTGCCAATTTGTCCGGTTTCGTCCTGCAGAATGCGGACGACCAGTATGTTTATAATTCTCTCTCTTCAAAGCAATTTAAAGCACCAATATGAATTTTCTTTCTCTTCTGCAATATATATACTTTTTAGAAATCAGATTGCAGAAAATTTACTTGAAGATTTAAACAAATTTCTTTCTATTCTAAGACACCAATTATTATTAATATTTTTTTCCCCTAACCTATGGAAAAAAAAAAATTGACAGGGGTGAGTCGGAGTTAATTGAGACTATTGTTGGAGTTGTTGCAGATAAACTAAATCCTACGTGTTTAAGTGTGGCAGAATACCAAGTTGGAATAGAGCGTCGTGTTCAACAACTGAGTGAGTTTTTAAAGTTGGGGTCTAAGAGTGATGTTAGGATTGTTGTCATATGGGGGATGGGTGGTATAGGTAAGACTACAATTGCTAAAGCAATGTATAACCGTATACATCGTATGTTCGGAAGGAGAAGCTTTCTTACAGATGTGGGACGAACTTCGATGAAACCGAACGGCCTCGTTGAACTACAAGAAAAGCTTCTTTGTGATCTGCTAATGGATAGAGATCTGCAGAGAATAAGAAGTGAGGATCATGGGATTGAGGAAATAAAACGGCGAGCATGGTGTCGGAGGGTTCTTCTTGTTCTCGATGACGTGGATAACATCTGCCAATTGAGGGCATTAGCCATAAATCGTGATTTGTTTTGTTCTGGAAGTAGAATCATCGTAACAACTAGAGATTTGTCAACAGTAAGTATGCTTCAGGCGGACGAGGAGTATAAACCTTATGTGTTGAATGAGAAGGAGTCTCTTCAGCTCTTTAGTTGGCATGCCTTCAGAAAAGAATATCCTTTGGAGGACTATGATAATCTTTCAAAGAAAGTAGTGGATTATGCTCAAGGGCTTCCTTTAGTTCTTGAGATTCTAGGTTCCTTTTTGTCACAGAAAACAATATCTGAATGGACAAGTGAATTGAAGAAGTTAAAAAGAATTCCACATCATGATATTCAAAAAAAACTAAAGTTAAGCTATGATTCACTTGACAATGAACAGAAAGACTTATTCCTAGATATTGCATGTTTTTTTGTTGGAATGGATCAAGATTTGTCAATCAAAATACTAGAGGGTTGTGGTTATTTCCCAGAATCTGAAATTGGGGTTCTATCCCGTCGTTGTCTTGTAAGAACTGATGGGCATAACAGGCTGATGATGCATAATATGATTCAAGACGTGGGTAGAGATATTGTCCGTCAAGAATCCCCTCGAGAGCCTGGCGAACGTAGCAGATTGTGGTATCACGAGGACATTCTTGATGTACTAAGAAACGACGCAGTAATAACTCAATACTTGAATTAATTACACATATGTATGTATATAATTTCATACAAAACTATATACATACATATGCATATATTTTTATATATTTGTTCTTATATATGCAACTTTTTGTTATCATCAGGGAACGAAAGCAATTCAAGGCATAGTCCTGAACTTATCAGAATCAGAGGAGCTACAACAAGTGAATGCCAAGGCATTTACAGAGATGAAAAGGTTGAGACTGCTTCATCTCAATTATGTCCGCCTAAGTGGAAGCTGCAAGCATATCTCCGGAAGACTAGTATGGCTATCTTGGAAAGGTTTTCCTTTAACATGTATGCCATCCACCTTAATCATGGATAACATGGTTGCCATTGACTTGAGCTATAGCAGGCTCAACCAAGTGTGGAGAGAATCTAAGGTACGAAACTACTGTTCTGATCTCTTTCAAACTAAATTAAAAATCACATACAAGTAAATTTATTACGAGTAATCCTCCTACGAGGATCCTCTCATGAGAACATCCTTGAGCTCTCCTTTTTTAACTCTTGAATTGAAAGATGTATTAAATAATTCATATGACTTTTCATCGATCTCAAAAAACCTGCACCAATCTAGTAGTTAAATAGGATAGCTCACGGCTCTTCTCACGAAAGAGTCATTACTCATTTATTATCTTCTTTGTGTTCCTGACAGGTTTTGTGCAAATTGAAATACCTCAATCTCGGTCATTCCTATTTACTGGCCAAAACTCCGGACTTCACTGGTCTCTCTAGTCTTGAGATATTGTTGCTTAATGATTGTACAAAACTGGTAGAGGTTCATCAATCTGTTGGATGTCTGAAAAATCTAGTTGTCTTGGATCTGAAGAATTGCCATAATCTTCAGAAGCTTCCACTGACCATTTTCATGTTGAAGCCTCTGCTTTATTTCAATATATCTGGCTGCTTCAAATTAGAATGGCCAGCATTTTTTCAAGGATCACCAGCAAAATCAAGGCTTTGGTCGTTACAGGGACGGAGTAACATCAGGAAATTATATATGGAAGACTGTAACATAACATATGTGCCCAACGAAATTGGTAGTTTGGTCTCCTTGCAGTTTTTGAATCTTAGCAGAAACAAATTTTCTAACCTACCAACCACCATCACCAGCCTTTCGCAACTGAAGGCCCTCTATCTAAACCAATGTACTCAGCTTCAATCACTTCCCGCGCTTCCATCAAATTTATTGGGATTGAGTGCAAACTACTGCTCATCATTGGAAAACATCTCAATCGAATCAAAAGCAGCAGAAGCACCATTCATGACTTTTTACGGTTGCTCCAAGTTGGTTGACAGCAATTTTGCAAATAATTTTAGAAAAAATCTCCTTTGGTATCAGGTATGCAACTGTCTCTCTATGCATTCACGGACACAATACAAATTAATGCTAGTTTGAGCTTTGATTATGAAAAATCAAACGTGTTTTTTTACTACCAACATTCCGTATTAGTAGTCTCATTTGGGGAGTAGAATTTTGTAAGGGGACATACGTTAATGTATTGTCACCTTTAAATTTACAAAATTATCCTTTTAAGTTTAAATATATACCTAATAAAGTTGAATTTTTTTAAAACTTTAAAGGTATTTATGGAAATATATTTTTATTTTACTTTGCCTTTTCAATTTGGATAAATATTTTGGGACAGTCTAAAAAGGGTATTTTGGGACCGTCCAAAAAGGAAATATGGACAATTAATATGCCACAGAGGGAGTATATATATCAAAAAAAAAAAAAAAAAAACACCATTAATTTTTGCATTGGTTATGATTGCATGGTGGAGCTGCCTGCAGGGACTGGAAGAACAGGGTGAGTTTAATATTTTTCTTCCGGGGAGTGAGGTTCCGAGGTGGTGCGACTACCAGAGTGAAGGATACTTTTTATCTTTTTGTGTGCCTAAGGATGAGCAGGTGGATCGGAAAATACGAGGGCTGATTCTCTGTGTGATTTTTTGTGGGCGACGCAAAGAAGATGATGATAAGTTTGCTATTTCCTATAGCATTTCAAATAGAAGTAAGCGTTCTTGGGGATTTAATTGTCAACCAAGAGTTGATTTCTATCCTGTAAGATGTGAAGATCAGATGTGGCTCGCCTACATACCCAACCGGAGTCTTGAATCCAAGTTGAAGCGCGAGAATAATCGATTGGATGCCGGAGATAAAGTGGAGATATCAATACAAATAGACTATATTTGGCAGGTGAAGAAGTGTGGTGTTAGTCTGGTTTACGAGGGGGATGATGAGAAAGATTCATCTGAGGCAAATGATGAAGGAATGATCGAATACATGGAGCCGGCAGACGAAGGAAACTCAAACTTGATCATTATTGCCTCAGACTTGCGTCCGTCTGAGAAAGATGTGTCCATGAGGTGGATCCCAACGGATTTCAAATTTCTTGAGGAGATCGGAAAGATAAATAAATACTATTGAGAAGCTATACCAAATTATGTCATTAGTTCAGATGGTAGGAGTTGTTTCCCGCAAAGAGGAGATTGAGTATTTTATGATTATGTGCATGTTTGCTTGAACTTTGGACGCACGCCAAAAGTATTTATATATATGTTTGACAAAATATATAGACGCTGGACCTGTTGATTGATTGAAGTTTTCTTATGCTGTCCATGACTCCATCCAGATTGAAGAATTTTAAAGTTTAGCATATTTAATATTTAAATATTCAAGAAACACACTGAAATTTGATTCAGCTTCTAAATTGCATGAAAATTGAGCTCCCACAAAACAAATCCCACACCATTGTAGAACCTGCTCTTCTACAATCAATTAATTAAGATTGGACAGTTAAAGAAATATGTTCTGCAAAGTTAATCAGAGTCTTTAATTAGAGTCTTTCTTTTAGATTAAAAAAAAATCTATATCAATGTATTTGATTATTAATTATTATATGTGAGAATTTTAAATACCAAGTAAAAGGAATGAAACAAGTAGTCTGCACTTTTCGTGAAATGTCATTTTCTTTTTTCCTTATCAGACTAAGGAGAGGGTGGATTCGATGCATGTCACTTTATTTTCGAGCAATTAAAATCTTCCCTCTACCCATCATTCGTCCACCTTACTGGAACTTACCTTTTGAGATAACTTGTAATGCTTCAGATTATGTAGTAGGAGTTGTTTTAGGACAAAGAATTGATAGAGCACATGTCATTTATTATGTTAGCAAGACCTTGAATAATGTGTAAATCAACTACTCGACTACCGAGAAAGAGTTGTTAGCAGTCGTATTTTCCTTTGAAATCTAAGGTCATAATCTATACCAACCATGCAGCATTGAGACATCTTCTCTCAAAGACAAATGACAAACCTCGGTTGTCCGATGGATCTTACTCTTTCAAGAGTTTGACCTTGAGATCCGCGATAAGAAAGGCTTAGAGAATGTAGTCGCTGATCATTTGTCTCGTCTTGTTGTTGAGTCTATTGGTGAATATCTTCCAATCTCTGATTATTTTCCTGATGAGCAACTATTTGAAGTATCTCATGTATCATGGTACGTAGATTGTCAATTACATTGTGAGTGGTCAAATCCCTTCCACTTGGTCCAAGCAAGAGAAAAACAAATTCCTAGCTAAGGTTAAGGAATGTTTTTGGGATGACTCCTACTCGTTTAAATATTGTCTAGATCAAGTCATCCGTAGGTGTGTCCCTGACCAAGAGTCTGTCATTTCCTTTTGTCATGATCAGGCATGTGGTGGCTATTTTAGCTCTAAAAGAACCGCTATAAAAATCTTGCAGTCATAATTTTATTGGCCTACCCTCTTTAAGGATACCCACACCTATTGTTTGGATTGTCCTCAATGCCAATTGTTAAGTAAAATCACTAAACATAATGAGTGGCCCCAACAACCCATTCTAATTGTTGAAATCTTTGATGTTTGGGGTATCGATTTCACGGGAGCCTTTCCCTCCTCATTTAGATATATCTACATCCTACTTGCCGTTGACTATGTGTTGAGATGGGTCGAAGCCTTAGCCACCAAAACAATAGACCATAGAGTTGTGGTGCGTTTCCTCAAATACTTAATCTTTCCGAGATTTGGTACACCTCAAGTTATAATCAATGATAATGGTTAACATTTTTGCAACAAAGTCTTTGGAAGTTTAATGTCAAAATATGGGGTCACCCATAAAGTAGTCTTATGTTATCACCCACAAACAAATAGTCATGTTGGCGTATCCAATAAGGAGATTAAGCAATTCCTAAAGAAAATAATTAACCCCATAATGAAGGACGTACTGGACTCTCTGGCTTCAGAATGCTTTGTGGGTATACCGAATTGCTTACAAGACCCCTATAGGAATGTCCCCATACCGATTGGTCTATGGCAAAGCCTGTTATTTTCCTGTTGAACTTGAACACCATGCTTTTTAGGCTATTAAGGCCATGAACTTTGACTATGATAAAGCCGGTGGGCGTAGGAAACTTCAACTTGATGACATAGAGGAAATTCGAAATGATGCATACGAGAGTTCAATGATGTATAAAGCTAAAACTAAGTTGGAACATGACAAAGGCCTTCTCAGAAAGGAGTTTTTCCCCGGACAAAAGATTCTTTTGTATAATTCACGTCTTCAATTGTTTCCCAAGAAATTAAGGTTACGATGGTCCAGCCCATACTATATCAATAATGTTGCTAGTCATGGTGCCATTGAGGTACAAGATCCCAAAATTGGCAAGTTGTTTAAAGTCCATGCTCATTGTCTAAAGCCTTTCCTTGAGTTTGAGACTTGTGAAATTGAAGACATTCTCCTCATCGATCCGGTATATTCGGATTGATCTCTTTGGGGGTGCTTCCCTCATTGCGTCTGGCTAACGAATTTAAACTTAGTGCTCCTAGGAGCTAACCCAGTTTCGTGTGTCAAATCAGTTAGCCTAGTTTTATTTAGAGTACATTTTTCTGACAATCTTCTTTAGATTAGGATTTCTTTGATACTCTATTTGGATATGCTTATATTTTGTTTGGGGTTACAGTCTTTCATGTTAAATGGTTTCAAATCATTTGGACTCTATTTTGCAATACATCTTTGCAGGGATTGTCCTTCAGAAACACCAACTCAATTGAGGCTTTATTCCAATTTTTCTCTTTATCTCTCCAATGACATTGTCCATTTTGTTTCACCACTTTTCGTTATTGTATTTTTCAACACTAGGGACTATGTTGTATTTTGTTTGGGGGTGGGGCAGATTTATCAAAGCACATATCTCTTTTGAAAAACATTTTGAGCCAAAATAGATTTTTAATTGGAAAAAAAAAAATTCTTGTGATCCACTTCGTGAAAATAGAGAGATGTCAATATCTAAATCTAAGTCAAGTGTCTTACTAAGGTGATATAACAATAGTTATTACACCACGATCATTTAGAAGCAGAAACAATTTTTGCACAAAAAGTCGCACTTTGTAATTTGAAATAAAGAAGTGAGTGACCTCCTATGAATCTAGAGATCTGATTGTAGAGACCTAGACTCTATGAGTTTTCATGCCTTTCACATTTTTAGAGAGTTTTTACACTAACTCCGAGCAGAAGATGGCTCAACTTTCTTGGATACCTCACTAAAAATTGTTGGTAGTCTCATTATCCTTCATGTTGGTTGATCATTGGGAATGATATCACTTCGAGTTAAGAGAAGCATAAGTCTTGTAGTTTATTATTTACTATCATACCACACCTTCACCCTAACCATGTTTTATTTTTATTATTATTTTTTAGTTTCTGAGAAATGTTAGGGATGGCATTTTTGTAACTAGAAAAGGGCTAGGAAAACATTTATATTCTTTTTTTGAAAAAAAAAAAAAAAAATGCACAAAGGAAAAAAGAGAAATATATATAATAATAAATAAATAAATAAAAAGATGAGAAAAAAGATGAGCGTCCCTTTCAAATATCTTGAAAACCCCCCATTCTCATAAACATCAATCTACAACCTCAGTCCAATCACCACTATAATAAAGTTTTTAGGTTGAAAAGGTGTAATAGTGAGTAAATGAGAAAGTGTTATGGTGGGTAACTCGACATTCTCTCAAAAGTGATCAATATTCCTATCATGAAACTTATCTATTATGCATGTGTATTCGTTCTTCATAGTAGTATGTCAGCTTGCTTTTACTTTGGAAACAGAGTTCCTACTCATATACAACTAAGAGAAATAGTTAGCCAAATCTCCGAGAGTTTGTTTTAGAATTTACTTGCGAGATTTGAAGTCAAAATATATTTTTCTAGATATTTGGGAATTCCATCACTTGGATTTTAGAATGGCTTTTTGTCAACTTCACACACGTACACACTCTGCATCTAGGTTGTTCATGGATGGATTTTCCTTGATATTTGTTTTTACGACACCTTAGTAGCTCATTGTATATGGAGAACTTGATAATTTCATTTGCTATGTTTTATGGATGTATACAGGAAATGCTTTTATAGTCATAGGAAGTTTGTTGGTATCATTACTACAAACTCTCACGAGGCTATAACTCGTCCACTGGGGTAACTTGGTGGTTTAAGGTCTTGTTACATATGGTAAATGCAATCAAAAGCAACCTAAAAAAGTGGCACATCTTTAGTTAGGAGTTAATAAAAGTAGGATAATGATAGAAAACCTGAATAATTATCCCTGACGTTTCACTGAACCTGATGTAGCCAAGCCACATTAGATTCATTAAACGTCTTTTAAAGGTGACTATTCAACATCTTCTCTCACTTCACGTGACTTAGGTCCTGAGTAATTGGGTGGGTTTCATCTTCAACCTCACAAACTACATAAGTCAAATTCAAACAAGAGACTGTAGATACTAAATCAGATCATGTGCCCAATCCCAAGTAGTGTTCTTTACTTACCCCTTTGGGAATCTGATGAAGAGTTCTTAAATTTTTATTTTTATTTTTTCAAAAGAAGTCTGATAATATGTGAGAAAATTTTGAAATTGTATCAAACTCACAAGTTTCGCTCAGCGTTGATTGAGGCAAATCTACAGACGCCAAATTAGAACTCATGGACGAAATCGATAGATCGAAACAAATAAAAAATTAAATAAATCGATGCGAAGCCCCTCGGTTACAACATTGAAGACATTCCCGTTGGTGGTATCTAAAAGTTCTGATTTGCTGGTAAGAATACAAATTCATTCTGAAATAGATATTGATACAATCATACCTAATACCTATATCTATGTGTGTGTGTGCATATATATATATATATATATATATATATATATATATATATATATATTTTGCTTCTATTAGATATTCTCTTTAGTGATTTGATATTTGTGTTTTCAAATCCATTGCAGTGCTTGATATTTGTGTTTTCTGATCCATTGCAGTGCTTGAGGAAACCATCATGATACCTTTCAGGAATTTTTACAATTTCCTTTTTATTTTCTACACTTCATTATTTATTTTTCATTCGAAATTAGTGATTGAACAGAGTTCAGAACAATGAGGTTGAAGACGAACAATAATTGGTGGAGTACCCACTCAAATCACGTGAAGCAAGAGAAGAAGTGGAATTCTCACACTTTAAAAATGTCTTAATGAAGTTGACGTGGCTTAACCATACGAGATTCGATATCAATTCAGGAATAATCATTCGTTTTCCCTATACTCATAAAAGTAATGAGTTTGTAAACTTATCTATTTTGTTCCTTATTTGCTAGACTAGCAAAAACTTGTTTGGGGTAGTTTGATAAGTGCACAAAACTCATTATTTTATGTACCAAAATAAATGTTTAATTAATCTTTTATATTGTCTCTTTTGTTCTTATATGTATGTACACACAAATTTCGTAGTCTGCAAATAAAGAACAAAATAGGGAGCAAAAATAATATTTTATTAATTTGAGAAAATTAGAGTACAATTCCCTGTAATAATATTATTTACAAAGAATAAGATCATCTGATTCAATCTCCTTTGTTAGTATTCAAGGGTTACATGAGCTTGATCTTGAATCACAGTGGAATTTGGATAAAGAACGACACGATTTGATGTGCTTGTTGTTGATCACTGTGGAATTTGATGAAGAACGGCATGGTTTGATGTGCTTGGTGTTCTTCGCCTTTGGGTTTGGATGTTGGGGATGAATGTTGGCAGAGCTTCTGTATTTCTCTCTGGAATTTCTGACCCTTTGGATTTTTGAGTCTCTGAATTTCTGGACCTTTTCAATTTCTGGACCCCTTTCCTCCTTCCTCCATGCCTCTATTTATAGGCTTTTTGGATTAATTGGATGATGACATGTGTTATCTCCTGATAAGGACAAAATCATAACTAGGCCGGGCCGACTATATTATGATGATTATCTATAAAATAATTATTCCAAATATATTTTATTAGGAGTAATTATCTTTTTATTTAATCATTTGGGCTGGGCTAATTAAATAATTTAAGTGGACCAAGTTTGGTCCAATTAAATAATTTAATTAAACATGAGACCCATATTTGATGGGTCAATTTGTCAAAACAAAAGTCCATAAAATTTTAGTGTTTACAAATTGCTCCCACTTCGAGTCCCATGTTTGACAAGACTTGTCTCATTTTTCAAGTAGGATTTGAAGTATTTAACTTGGTCTTTGAATTGTAAAAGACTTTTCTATCCAACTTTAGATTGCAATTTTACTTTCCTATTTGAACTGAATTATACAAACCCCAGTACAAATAGAAGATATTTTATTGTCTATATATACCTATCCGTGCTATAGGGTTAGATATCAATTCCAAAGCCTCTGAAGACTTGTTAGATTGCAGTCTCTGCTCGAAAGTCTTGTTAGATTGCGGTCTCTGCTCGAACAAATAATCGGTATTACTTTTTTTTTTTCTTCTTTTTTTTTTCACGCATTTTTTCTTTCCTTTTTTTTTTTCTCTTTTTTTTTCTCTCTTTTTTTCATGCTTTTTTTTTTCACGCTTTTTTTTTTTCCCCTTTCTTTTTTCTTCATGCCTTTTTTTTTTTTTTCATGCCTTTTTTTTTCACGCCTTTTCCTTCTTTCTTTTTTTTCTCTCCTTTTTTTTTTTTTTTTTTTTCACTAGATCCACTGGTCCGTTAGAATGCATCTTTACTAGTCCCTCTGGGACCCATTATTCTTTTGGAACGCATCTAGTCCGTCAGGACCCATTGTTCTGTTGGAACACATCTTTACTAGTCCGTTAGGACCCATTGTTCCGTTGGAACGCATCTAGTCCGTCAGAACCCATTGTTCCTTTGGAACGCATTCAGTCCGTCAGGACCCATTGTTCCTTTGGAACGCATTTAGTCCGACAAGACCCATTGTTCCGTTAAAACACATCTTTATTAATCCGTCAAGACCCATTATTCCTTTGGAACACATTTAGTCCGTCAGGACCCATTGTTCCGTTGGAACACATCTTTACTAGTCTGTCAGGACCCATTGTTCCGTTGGAACGCATCTAGCCCGTCAGGACCCATTGTTCCGTTGGAACACATCTTCATTTGTCATTTCAGGACCCATCATTTTTTTTTTTACTTGTCCCTTTGGACCCATGAGTTCCGCCTTTATTTATTTATTTTTTTTTTTTGCAGAGAAATCCACTTTGATAAAAGTCAAGAATGAAGTGAATGGTGAAGGCAATCAAATTCTGACCAAGATCCTAAATAAAGTAAACTTGACAAACTTTTTAGCAAAACTCCATCAGAATCTTGACATGTTGCACAAGTATGCTTGTGCATCCGCCTTTGAATACAAAACTCCACTAGAATTTTGACTTCATGTTCTTGCGCATCTAGATATCACTCTCGAATGTGCAATTTGACTTGAAGTTTACAACTTACT